TAAAAAAACCAACCAAACAGAATTTTCTATTACACAGCTGTAAGCATGGATGCACATGGGGAATTTTCTCTAACGTATTTTGGTAACAGCCATTCTCTTACTGCCCCCTGAGCAAAACTGGTTCTTTCTATGCTTTTTTTAAGGAATTAATTATCCTAAAAGATTTTGGCAAGATACCAAAAGATCAGAAGTATCAAATCTTTGTCTACATTTAATTCTCACTGTTAAGTATGTAAAATTAAAATAAGAAAAGGGGTAAAAGTAGAGGGAGTGCATTGCTCTTGCTCAAATTCAAAGCTATTGTACTATGAGAGGACTTGCATGTAAGATCAGCAGAAAGCTTCCTTCGCTCAGTGTTGGCATCTCCCTGATTAACTTAGAAGGTGCAAAACTCACAAACTGTAGCTCCAAATGCACCAGGAGCTATACTGTTTCCACTGAAAAGCTCTTTGTCAGCCTGTTCATTTAAAGAGAAAATTCGTATCTGAAGCTTCTGGTGTCCCAAAAGGTCTACAATTGAGCCATCAGAATATACGTCTTCCTCTTAATGTTCTGTCTTCTCTTACAAGATAACCTCACCAGCACTCAAACCAAAGTACTGAGCAACAGCAGCAGCACATTCCTACATGAAAATCCAACTAACTTTTGAGCACGTTCTTCTCCTGGCTGGTTCAGCCAAACAGAGACTTTCCATTCATAGTAAAATGACTTTTTAAATCCAATTTAACTTGTGTTTCAATGACTACTGACTGAAGCAGAGGATCTTGAGAAGGATCAGAGCAATGATGTGTCACCGTAAGTTACCCACAAGTTAGCCTATCGGCTGGGGCAAAAAATACTCTTATAAATGAGGTACTTGTGCACGTAACAAGCATGGTACCTCCCCAACAACTGAGTGCATGCACATAGGCACCATCTCAGAGGAAAATGCTAAGAATGTGCTTAGACTAACACTACACAGTAACTCAGAAACCAAATAAATCCTCTTAAGGAGATTACACAGATGTGACTCTTGTAAGCAGCTGTATCCGTGTGCGCTGTCTATGAGCTCTTCATGAATCATTCCACAGTGACTACAGGAAGTGTGTTCTAAGGAGATCAAGTGTGCTAAAGCCGAACTGGAATACATTTTCTCAACACCAGCAAGAATTTCATCGCCAGCCTAAAACACCCTCACCCTGAAGCCATTTCCTAAATTGTTCTTGACCTTCAGGGCACATCGGCATTTGTGTCTCTGTAAATCTCTCTCTTTTTGAGCTAACTGTCCTTGGCTACATATAATGAGAGAGTTTTTCACCTTCTTTTCCTGCATATGTACTTTGGCATGCTTTCTGCTATGAAAGGCAACCCACACATCTTTAAATATGGAGACACGGAGCTTTGAAAAAGAGATGCTATTATCCTTTCCTAACATGCTACGAAATTCCTTTTGATCGTATTTACTAGGTCTATATACAATTGCAACTGTCTCTTTTCAGATGCATCAATTTCTGCTGTCAGCATGATCATGATTTAAATAAAAACAAACCCTTCTGCTAAATTCTAATACATGATCTCATATTCCTTTCATGCTCTGAAGGAGCATACATGCTATACCACTGCCAATTTGATTTCACCTAAACACTGGAGATAGCCAGCATCCATGAGACAAAACACTGCTAGAAGGATGAAAAGCAGGCTCCAGGAGTCAGTCATTGGGATATTTTAGGACAATGAATCAGAGGACACTGGTAATAGACACCACAGGATATGTGCTGTGATACATCAGCTTCTGCAAGCAACACCAAGCACTTCCTGGAGATGTGGCTACTCTGAGCTTCCAGCTTCTCTCAGAAAAAGACTTGCTAAGAAATTCCCTGGAATCTGGGCCCCAGAGAGGTTGACAGGGTGGAGAGGAGGAGGGTAAGGGGATATAAGGTGCTCACACCAAAGCCATGTGACCAATGCAAAGGTAGTCAGGAAAAAAAGCAGATTTTTATAATAAATAAACCATCCAAGCTGCATTAGTGTTCCAGATATGTACTCAACAAGACCCTCTCCCAACCACAAACCAGCAAGAATGGGACATGAAAACTCATTCAGACAGCTAATGGCACAGTCTCTTTGAACTGTGGAGAGGATTTTCCGCTGATTTAAGGCCCACCTTTCTTTGTGTTTCCTACATATACGCAAGGATCATGCCCCCACCCCACCACAAAAGCGTTAGGGAATAGAGGATACGTCGGAGAAAAGACCGGCAGTATCCCCCCTGCAACAAAAAAAGCTTCCTGATAAATGGTATTTTTGCACAGGCGTGAAAGTAAGCGGGAACTTTCAGAGTCAGGAATGAACGTTTCCCCATCCTCTTACTTCACTGAACTCAAGTCCCAGGGACTTGGATTCCTTTGGTAGAAACTGTGGTCTGTGCTATGGCCTTCAGACCTGGTGCTAGCTGGCACCAGCATCTCCTCTTCCACTTCTTCCCTACCTCCCTGAAGCTCACCCAGCTATACCTTTTACGGCTCTGAAGCTATTACTCTGGGCCATTTCCATTGCTGAGGATTATTCCTAGCCCTGAAAGTCTCCTGCACAGCCTGAGGTCATAGAGCAAAAATACTTAGATTTATCCATACTGGTGGGATGAGGGTGGGACCTGTTGGATTAGCAATCCCCTGACATTGCCATTCTATTTACACATCAAACAAAAGAAAACAAATTAAAATCAAGTTAAGAGTCTGCCCCAAGGATAACACAAATTACCAACCAACCAAAAAAAAAAAAAAAAAAAAGATAAAAAACAAGCAGCAACTTTTATATAAAATTAATAAAAACAAGAGACAAATGAAAAAGAAATTGTCAGTAGCATCTATCGCCTCTCTGCATCTGAACTGCACTTATACAAACTAGTCCATTAGTACAGCAGCTTGCTAGAAATTGACTTTGGTTCAAGCTTAGTTTTAAAAAAATAAAACATAAAAAAATCAAAAACACATTAGAAACGGTGGACGGACATTTGTTAGTTTCCCTGCTTGCAGTTCACTAGTTTTGAAGTTTTAGGGATAATTGGTTTAAATATTCAGTAAAACAGGAAGGTGGAGAGTTAGAGTTGAACAGAGCAAAACCATGGTGGTGGGGGGAAAGGTAAGGGGTTCTGCCACTTGAGTGCAAACACAAATCTCACATGCTCAGGTCACAAACCAAAGCATATGTAAAGTTTAAAGTTGCTGCCTTCTGGATCTTGGATGAGAAGCTCCAGGATCCCCCTGAATCATCAACAAAATGAACATAGCTGCATTAGCTCATTATTTTAGGACACTCTGGTGACAAAAGAAAAGGGGGTGGGGGGAAAGGGACTCTTCTAATACCCTTGCTAGCTAAAAGTAGTTTAGTTTTATACACATGGCAGAAACCTTTAAATCTTAAACCCTAAATCCATCAGGAATGGAAAGTTCAAAGTGAACTGCATTGCAGTGATCCAGTCTTCTCTCTTTAAAAAAATTTTTTTTGGTTCAGATACTAGATTGTATATTTAAGAATATACAGATCTAACTTCGGTACAGTTCATCACTCTTCCTCATCCATGTAAATGCCATTTGCTACGTGGATCAGAATCAACCTTGAAAAGACAGTTAGAGCGGCAGGCAAGCCCTGAGGCTCTGGTCAGAGATGCTTACTGCCACTTTTACATCAGTAGCAGCATCACAGCTCAGACACTACACAAGATCACCCAGGTATGTGCAAAGCCCCAGAGTCAGCTCAATTGTGTTGGCATCAACGATGGTAACTTCTGTTCTCATATTGTTGGCTTCTGTGTTTTGCAGCCAGAGCTCTTTTTTACGAGGAAGTTTTTCTAAATGCAATGTTGGAAGCATCAGAATTAACGGAAAAGGAATATTGCTATGAATAGGGAGAATCTGACCTCTTAAAGTCCTGTACCAATCACCCGGAGGGAGTCCAGGCCTGAAAATGCTGCTTTACATGCTGCCAATTAGCTTGGGTAACGTGCTTTTAAGTATTTGTGGACGCTCTTAGCAGCAAAATCAAATCAATAGAACGGAAGAGCCATCGGTATGTCACACAATCTAGACTCGGGAGGTCAAATCCTATGCTCTGGCATAAAAAGGACCCATGCACACAAAGCTAAGAGCAGAATTTGGCCATTTTGTCTAAGTAATTTGAGAGAAAGAGAACTGCGGTTCAGAACTAATTCCTACCTTTGCTCAAAAAGCATCGACCAGCCTGGAAGTTTGCTCACAATGATCTCTACTGCTACACCAAGCTTCCTGCAACAATGATGAACAGAAATTTTTCTGACCCCTACAAGTAACCATTAGACAAATTCAGAGATGAGGAAACTGTTCAGAACGTTCCCAGAAGATGAGGACAGAAAGTCTATTTGTGCTCCATTCTTCCTCTCCACCTTCCCGCCCTCCCCCCGTGGTGTGGGAGCTCACTGAATATAATCCAGGAGCAAAAGACAAACGCGTCCAAAACTATATATATAAAAATAATAATAATAATAATCATAATAATAATAATAGAGATACACCAGTAATACAGGCCTGCCTAAATTGTACCAGTTAAGAAAGGAACCCCCAACACAATTGATACGATTATAAACACCTTGTATGACATAATGGCCTGTACAACAGACCTATAAAATGATAATTAAAAAAGAAAGATATTTAGACCGAAAAGAAGCAGGAAATCCCCTTCCTATGTTTGAGTTGATAACCCACCTTAACTTGTCATTGTGACTGCTGGAAATGATAAGTAGTCCTTTCACTTTTTTTGTGGTTTTTTGTTGGGTTTTTTTTGTTTGTTTGTTTTTTGATATTTTTTTATGGTT